TCAACCTGTCGGCGGGGCATGGGTCCTCCCAGGGGATGGCAAGGGGAGAAGGTGGGGGGGGGTGGAGGGGGAGGGAGGACGAGTGAGGAAGACAAGATGGAGGGAGGGGGAGGAAGGAGGCGGAGGATGGAGGAGGAGGCATGAGAGGGGTTGACGGTGAAAAGGGGGAGGGGAAAGCGGAGAGATCTCATGAGAAGGAGGAGGGGTAGGAGAAGGAGTAGGAGTAGGAGTAGGAGTAGGAGTAGGAGGAGGAGGAGGAGGAGGAGGAGGAGAGGAGGAGGAGGAGGAGGAGGAGGGGGAGGAGGGAGGAGGAGGAGGAGGGGAGGAGGAGGAGGAGGAGGAGGAGGAGGAGGAGGAGGAGGAGGAGGAGGAGGAGGAAAACCGCTTGGGGGAACTGTCTCCCGCGGTCGCCCCCGGCGCTGCGCCCCGCCCGCACGGCTGCCCTAGAGGGGGGCGGGCCTGAGCGCGCCGCCGCGCCATCGGCGGCGGGCGGCGTGCGCTCACCCTGAATTGGATTCAGCCAAACGAACCACTCGCGCCGCATGTCGGAATCATTCGAACGCCCTCGCGCGCGTGCTTGGGGGGCACGGTCCACGTCCAAAAATACCATGGGGGCCGCTCTCGCGCGTCGGCCGCGCGCGCACGTCGAACTCCTTCCAAACACTTTATCACCGACGCGAGGACGCCGTCATCGTCGTCGGCGTGATCAGCATCGGCGCCGTCACTTGCTGTACCGTCGCCGCTGTCATCATCGTCACCAGCACCGCTACTATCATCATCGTGGCTACCGTTGTCGACGTTGCCCTGATACCGCCCTCCCAAGTCGCCGACTCGCAGTGCAGTGCCCGCTGGGATGTGCCCAGCGGTCAGCGCCACCGCGGCCGCGTCAGTCGCGCCAAACTAGCTGGCCGCTGCGCGCGCGAGCATGCGCGGACTAGCGCGGCCGCAGAGATGCACCAGACAGCACCAACTATTCATCGCAATCGCCGCCGCATCGGTTTGCAAACCAAGTTGCGGGTGGGGTGGGATGATTGCGCGAGCAATGGAGTTGACAACTTTCTGCAAACAACAAGTAATTCTCCTTTCTTAAGAAATAATAGGCTGACTCGACCCTCCCCAAGATTATCAGTTCGGCTTTAAGTATTGCAATTTGCATGTGATTCTGCCCCATCGTCCATCCAACATATGAATTCATACCATCCCAGCCGAGCCGGTATCGTTCCCCCCCGCCCTCCTCTGCAAACAACATTATGCGCGCGCTCGTTTATCAAAACTCGTCAATTTTCAAGATCCCCTTGCAAGAAGCGGGACTACGTGTACACGCGGGCGTTGTCTCGCGCGCGTGCCGAAATCCTTCAAAAGCTGAGGCTTCGTAAGGGCTTCAAACACGAGTGTCCAAGACACATATAAGAACACAAGGTTTCGCCACACGGTTTTTCAAAAAAAGCTTGCGCGCGCGCTCTTGCGATTAAAAAGACACTCGTGAGTTTTTGATCATTTTAGTACAGGACGTGCTACCAAGCGGCCGTCGCGCGCGCATGTCGAAATCCTTCGAACGCCCTTGCGCGCGTGAAATCGCGAACGTCCTTTGCAAAACATGGGGCGGAATGCACGCGCGCGCGCGTCGTCGCGCGCGCATGCCGCAATCCGTGTAAAAAACTCAAAGTTCGAAGCGATTTCAATACATAGTGTACAGAACACATATACAACACATGGTTTCACAACACCAGTTTTCAAACAAGTGTGCGCTCGCGCTCTTGCGAATTCTCAGGACAACAATATTTTCAACATTTTCATGGACTTGTGCGAAACGGGCTTCTGGCGCCCCATGCCGAAATTATTTGCACGCCCTTGCGCGCGTGCTGGGAGGGGGGGCGCGATCCGTATCAAATGATACCATGTGGGCCACCCTCGCGCGTCGGCCGCGCACGCATGTCGACCTCTGTCAAGGAAAAGAAGCAAGAGGCGTCACGAGGTGTGGCCTTCGAAGCTCGACGCGGTGCCACAGAGAGTGCGGCGCTGGCTCGGTGGTGGGGGCTCGTGGCAGGCGGCTGGGTGTTTAAAGTGTATGTGTCAGAGATTGCAGGCCAGAACGTCACTTTGAAAACCATCTGCACCCATCTGTGGTGGTTGGGTGCTTCAAGCTTGATATATCATCGCGTAGCATGTGAGGAAGCCTCTGGCGAAAGCTCGGAATTGAACAGGAACTGGCCTCAATCCGTGTGGGACAACGCTGACAGCGAGCCTGCTGCGAGGCTTGGCAGTCGCATTGTCTCCTGCGAAGAGGAGGGAGGAGGAAAGATATGAGTAGGAAGAGGAGGAGGAGGAGAAGGAGGAGGAGGAGAAGGAGGAGGAGGAGGAGGAGGACAACTAGAGTAAACTTAGGATGCGTCAGCGATGCTACAATACGCCCTCCGATTCCCTTCCTCAGAAGTCCCTACAAATGTTCCTTTTCACCGCGGGAGGCGCCCCCCTTGAATGACGAACGTCCGCTGAGCCTGCCACTCAGGCGAGTCGGAATATTGTAAGGATGCGTCTCCATTCGTGGGACGCGAAAGGGCAGGATGACACACTCCAGAAACATGTCGAGAGACAGCCCCATTTTGAAAAGAATCAGCCCTCCATCCGTACAGGTGCTGCACAATTTCAATTTTTTGGGGTCATACAGTTTGTGGAAATGACAAACAATAACTTCATCTGGGAAAAGAATCACCCTCCGTCCTTGTACGTAACTGTTTCGCCATCGTGAACTTTGGATCATACACTTGAATCAATCTCGAAATAAATCCGCATCAAAACTATCCGGGGGAAAAACCCAAACCTATGTAATTGTGAGTAACGCGTTGTGGGTGCCGCTTCCGGTGGGCCACGCAACGCGTGATGGGGCGTACCGTAATGGGTGGGGGGGACGCATGCGGGCACCCCCACTGGGGCCTTCGGTGGGGCTCCCTGTGGGGCCACGACGCGCTGTTGTTGGTTGTGGAGACGCATGCGGGCGGTGCCACTGGGGCCTTTGGTGGAGCCCCCATATTGGCGGACGCATACTGGCGGTTCCACTGGGGCATTCGCTGGAGCTCCCCATGGGCCACGAAACGCTGTCCTGGGTGTGGTGGACGCATGCGGGCGGTCCAGCTGGGGCCTCCGGTGGAGCCCCCCGTCGGGCCACGAAGCGCTATACTGGTTGTGGGCGGGCACCCCCCACTGGGACCTTCGGTGGAGCGCGCTGTACTGGGTGTGGCGGACGCATGCGGGCATCCCCACTAGGGCCTTCGGTGGAGCTCCCTACGGGGCAACGAAGCTCTGTACTGGGTGTGGCGGACGCATGTGGGCACCCCCACTAGGGCCTTCGGTGGAGCTCCCTATGGGGCCACGGAGCGCTGTCTGAGTGTGGCGGACGCATGCGGACACCTTCACTGGGGCCTTCGGTGGAGCTCCCTATGGGGCCACGGAGCGCTGAACTGGGTGTGGCGGACGCATGTGACCACCCCTACTGGGGCCTTAGGTGGAGCTCCCTATGGTACCACGAAGCGCTGTACTGGGTGTGGCGGACGCATGTGGCCACCCCCACTGGGGCCTTGGGTGGGGCTCCCTATGGGGCCACGAAGCGTTGTACTTGGTGTGGCGGACGCATGTGGCCTCCCCAACTGGGCTTTTGGAGCTCCCTATGGGGCCACGAGGCGCTGCACTGGATGTGGCGGACGCATGTGGCCACCCTAACTGGGGCCTTGGGTGGAGCTCCCTATGGGGCCACGAAGCGATGTACTGGGTGTGGCGGGCGCATGTGGCCACCCCCACTGAGGCCTTCGCTGGAGCTCCCTATGGGGCAACGAAGCGCTGTACTGGGTTTGGCGGACGCATGCGGGCACCCCCCATTGGGGCCTTCGATGGGGCTCCCTATGGGGCCACGCAACGCTGTACTGAATGTGGCGGACGCATGCGGACACCTTCACTGGGGCCTTCGGTGGAGCTCTGTATAAGGCCACGGAACGCTGAACTGGGTGTGGCGGACGCATGTGGTTACCCCCGAGTGTGGCGGACGCATGTGGCCACCCCCACTGGGGCCTCGGGTGGAGCTTCCAATGGGGCCACGAAAGGCTGTACTGGGTGTGACGGACGATGTGGCCACCCCCACTGGGCTTTCGGTGGAGCTCCCTGTGGGGCCACGAAGCGCTGTACTTTGTGTGGCGGACGCATGTGGCCAACCCCACTGGGGCCTTGGGGGCCTTGGGTGGAGCTCCCTATAAGGCCACGAAACGTGTGAGGGGTATGCCGACATGGGTGTGGTGGACGCATGTGGCCACCCCCACTTGGGCCTTAGGTGGAGCTCCATATGGGGCCACGAAGCGCTGTACTGGGTGTGGCGGACGCATGTGGCCACCCCCACTTGGGCCTTAGGTGGAGCTCCATATGGGGCCACGAAGCGCTGTACTGGATGTGGCGGACGCATGTGGCCACCCTAACTGGGGCCTTGGGTGGAGCTCCCTATGGGGCCACGAAGCGATGTACTGGGTGTGGCGGGCGCATGTGGCCACCCCCACTGGGGCCTTCGGTGGAGCTCCCTATGGGGCCACGAAGCGCTGTACTGGGTGTGGCGGGCGCATGCGGGCACCCCCACTGATGATGGCGATGACGATGACGATGACGATGGCGATGATGATGATGATGATGATGATGATGATGATGATGATGATGATGATGATGATGGTGATGATGATGATGATGGTGATGATGATGATGGTGGTGGTGGTGGTGATGCTGCTGCTTCCGATGATCATGATGGGAGGAGGGAGGAGGGGGAGGAGGAAGCAGTGAGGAACGCGGGGCGCTGCCCCTTCAAAACGAGGACCCAACACCACAGGATGGTTGGGAGCTAGCCAACCTCCATCCCTGGAACTGTTGCAGCCTTTGCACGCGAGTGTGCGCGGCTCCAGCGCAAGAGCCCCGTTTTGAAAACCACCGGCCCTCCATTTCTGTAATTGTTGAAGATCTTGAGACGAATGTGCGCAGAAGCCTATCTTGGAAACCACGGGCCCTCCATCCGTGTGACTGTCGGAGGTTCGAGCTGGAACATCGCAAGGGCATCCCAAGCGAAGCGCCTGGCCCGCCCTGCGGACACACCTGATGGGGCGACAGGGGGGGTACTAACGAGGAAGAGGGACGGTGCAAAGGTCATCTCTCGAAGCATGCGGAAGCAAAGGTCATCTGCACTAAGGTCTCTGCTTCCGATGTGCAGAGGAAGGTGCAAGGAACAAGGGCCACACGATGCTTCGGTGCAAGAGCTTCGTTGTGCAAGAACAGGTACTAGTACAAGGTACATCGGTGCAAGAAGTTCGGTTCCAATAAGGAAGAGCAAGGGTACTAACAAGGAAGAGGAACATGCGGAAGCAAAGGTCATCTCTCGAGACCGTGTCGCCGAATGGGGATGCTGTTCACTGGTCCGCGAACGAACGCCCCCAAACAGACGGCCACGCGTCCGGTGCTCACGAGGGACATGTTGGACTTAAACACGGGACACATCCTCCCGAAATAGAAGAGCAAAAACCTGCATAAACATTCACTGCTGGAGGTCCGCGCGGATTTCTCGGATCCCCGCTGGACCTCCCTTCCCTGGCGCGCGGAGCGCGCCAGGGGCAGCGCCAGAGGCACCACCAGAAAGGCCCAACGCAGATCCAAGAAATCCGCGCGGACCTTCGAACATTTATGGCTATCAATTTCTCTCGACTCCGAGACCGAATTTCGACCGCGAAGCCTCGCGATCGGGCCCTGGAAACCACGTCTCCGTGCCCTTGGAGCTGATGACCCCCGCCAAGTTCAGGCCGAAGCTCTTCCGCAGGTCGAGCGCCCGGGTCCCGTCCCTGGTCGCTCTCGGACCGAGGGCCGCTCTCGCTCCGATGTTCGAGGAAGCAAAAACGGCACAAACTTTCTGTTGGATGGATCTCTCAAGCTCCCTGCCGCCTCAAGCGGTTTGCGTTCAAAGCAGGACCACAGCAAAGCCACAGGAAGGCATGGCGTTGAAAGTGTAGCTCCGCACACGTGTCAAATGCTCGAGCGAGCAAGGACACAGCAGGGTCCCAGGACAGAGTGGAATTGACAGTGTAGCTTCGCATCCACCCAGCGGACTTCCTGGATCGGCGCTGGGACTCCCTCCCTGGCGCGCGGAGCGCGCCAGGGAGGGTGCCAGAGGTGCCGCCAGGGGGGCACCACTGGGCGCCAGAGGGGTCGGAGGGTCAATCTGACACCGAAGCCGCCGAAGGGGTCCTGGGGGGGGTGGTCGTCCGCGACGGTTCCGCAACCTGGCCCGCGCGCGCAAAAACATCTTGTGCGCGTGCGACGGCCTGCCCGCGGTGGGGGGGGAGGGGGGAGGGAGGGGAGGGGGGGGGCGGCCCCCCGGGCGGCCGCTGAACTTCTGAATAGAACGTGGTGTGCCAACGCCGATCCAAGAGATATCCGCGCGGAACTCCGCCAATGTCTGTTGATGCAGCTTTTGCTTCCTCGAGATGTGCTCCGGGAACGAGAAGCAATCGAACTCGAGCGTGAAAACCATCAGGCCGTCCTTCGAGTTCACGCTGCGGCCGAGGCCGTTCCCGATGTGCGGGAAGAGCCCCTGCCGCAGCTCCGCTATCGTCTCGTCCGGGGAGTCGCAGTGGGGGAGGCCAAAATACAGCCAGGCGCCTTCTCGGATCTCGGTGTCGTCCGCCAGCCGCGCAGTGCGCCGCATAATGAGTGTGTGTGTGTGTGTGTGTCCGGTCCTCCGTTTATTTCTGAGTCTGGCTGTACGGCTTCCCTCGGAACAGGAGCTCGGCCCACTGCTGGCGTAGAGGCCAACATGCGCCCATGTTGGCTCCAAACTTTGCAGTCTTCTTGGCGTTCCATGAGGGAACTTCATGGCGGGCCTGTGCGTGGACCCTTCCAACGGCGCCCGCACAGTGAGATAGTGGATGTGCGCGGTAGCGCCACTGGAAAATTCGGTGACTTGACCAATACTCTGTCGATCTCTTTTGAAGGATTTGCTGGAACATCCATCAGCACAAGGGTAGCACCGTACTTGTTCCGTAAGTCCAATTCCCCGACCTTCTTGCCGACTAGATGGCCGTTCCTGCGGGCTGCCATCAAACACAGTTCAACGAGATATGCCCATGCGTATGCAGCAATACCTCTGTTCGTTAAGCCAGCTGTGCTGTCTCGTACTCACTGCATCCACCTGTTCTGAAACCCCAACCATTCCCCAGGCAACGATATGGCCAGGCGATCATATGGCGTCGGCGGCCGTTTGACCCTCTGGACGCAAACTAGACAAGCTGAGGAGCAAAACGTTAAGGATGGACAAACATCGGCACGCAGAAACTTTCGGATGTCCGCGCGGATGGCTTGGACCCGCGCCGTGCTTGTCGAGACATGAACAAGCGATCATACTGTACTCTAGTGTCGGCAGCCCATGGACAAGCTCGGAATCGCAGATCCCAGGGTGGTAAGGCTTCGGATCGCGCGCAGACAGCCCCCCCAGGTAGTCCTGGCTTGAAGGGGCCCTGGGACATATAAATAAATACACACACATAAAAATATTCCCCATATTTTCCCATATTTTCTGGGTTTTTGTCTTCCCCCCCACTTCCCATATTTTCCCATATTTTCCGGGGAATCGACGAGGTAGTCCTGGCTGGTCTCAACAGGCCCTCGGAGCAGTCTGCGGGGGGGTCTCCACACCTCAACCCTGGGGGGCGCGGAGCGCACAGCTGCGCCGCCAGCGGCAGCGCCAACGTGTCGAGACCACCCCCAAGACCACCTAATTATGGGGGCGTCTGCGCGCAGCCCGAAGCCGTACCGCCCAAGGCTTGCGGAGTCTCTCCTCGAGCCCACGACTGCGGCGTCGTCGCGAACAAAAGAGAGGAGTTGCAGATCGCGACCAGAGCTCCAGAAACAATCGTTCTGCGGCATTCTTCTGGCCGCATCGACCTGCGGTGGTCCCCGGGGCCCGAGGCCAGGCCAGGCAACACGCGCGGGGGCGTGAAACGGTGGCGACGCCAGGATCTCAGGGAAAGCCTACGAACATGCCCCGGGCTGGCGGCGTCTCCTCGAGTCCACGACCGCGGCGTACGCCGTCAGCGGTGGTGCCGAGCCCCTGTACTTCTTGAGCCACCTGCGCGTGTCCGCCCCGTCCGCCACGGGGGCGCGCCAGGTGCTCCGGGAGCCCGCCTCTGGCGGCTTTGTTTTGTCGGCCGGCTCTTGCAGCGCCAGCAGCCTCAATGACTTCTGGAGGCCCCATATGCCGACAGACATCAGGACCTCGCACGTCTGGGTTTTCGCACATCCCTCTCTCCCTGGCCATAGGTCGGGCATGTCCCCTTACAGGCGGATTTTGGACGAAAAATGAAGCATGCTCAGAACATGTTCAAGCATAGTGAAAGATAGTGAACAAACATCGTCCCCGGAGTATTTTTGTGGACAATCATTGAACATTCCTCCTGTAGAGGGACATGCCCGACTTGACCCTGGCCTCATCCACACAGACCTGCGCTGCATGCGCGCCCCTGCAGACCACGCGAGAACGTCGGCGGTGCGGGCGTGCCGCCGTTTGCAAAACGGAAGGTGCGATCATGCGCAACCAAGCCACATACCGCCGCCTCGCGCTGCCTCGCACGACTGTCACTTCTGCCTCCTTCGGTGGTCCTCGGAACGTGTGTCAGCCCCAACGTGTGTTTGTCCATCGAGGCCCTTCGGTACGACGTAGGCGATGTAACGATCTACTGATTGGGCTCAAGGGGGGTAAGCACACATTGGGCTAAGACACGTCCTGAGGATCATCGACTCCTTCTCCCTGCACCCGTCTTTCCCGGGAGCAGGCTCGGTCCATACGCTCTGATCCATAGCGCCCCAACACTTCTCCTGTCGGGGATCACGTGTCCTTGGGGGAGGTCATGTCTCAACTCGACATTGCGCGTGAATTCGGGTTTCTGCTCATCGCAGGACGAATGCTAAAAATGGTTCTTGACGCGTATCGACTGCAAACAGTGAACAAATGGAAACACGTGGAAACGATCCGAAGTAGCTGTGATCATTTCGAAGCACGTGGAAGAATATGCCAGCACATTGCATCAAGTCAAGCACATGTCGGTGACAGCGAATGGAAGCGTGTGAAATCAAATGTCAAAACATGCATGGAAAAGCATGAGAGCACGTAGAAGCGCGTGCACGCTAATGAAAGCAAGTGGAACGGCGACGGTAACCGCCGAACCCCACGAGTCGGGGCTGGTCGGCAATAACGGCGAGGCAAATTGGAGACGTCGACAGCTGACTCAGCTGGATCGGGGCTAATTACTTAGCGACGGCGATGAGGCTACTCGGCGACGGCGAAGGGTCTAGTCGGCGAGCAGCCACGACAACGGTGAAACTTCTGGATCAGAGGCACAGGTGGCAGGATGGATCGGCGACAACAGCAGAGCTAGCTGGCGACTGGACAACGGTCGACCGTCCAAACCAGGGGAGAACAGCGCTTGCGAAACACGGCTGCTGCTTCGATGCAAACGCTGCGTGGGGACAGAAGCGGACTTCCTAGGGACGACCTCCCCGAAGTCCGGCTGGCGACCAAGAGTCTCGTGCACCGAGCCCCTCTCTGCAGTCCTTGCAACGCCTGGACAAAACGCCCATGCCGCAACACTGGCCCCCTTATTCAACGGGCGAAGAACGGTATAACATAAACTTTTTCGCCGTCGGGGACACCTGCCCCAGCGCGGCTGGAAAGTTTATACCCTTACGGTGGCACCGTAGGGGTATAAACTTTCCAGCCGCCCAGGGGCAGGTGTCCCCGACGGCGAATCAGTTTATCTTATACCGTTCTTCGCTCGCTGACTTGTGGTCGGGAGCTTCTGCTCCGCGTGTCGCCGCGGCGGCCCCCGGCGGCGCGCTGTGCCCTGCCAAGGGGGACAGCGTGTCTCTCTCCGCTCTGCGGGGCGGCAAGCTCGGGAAATGGCTCGGGGCGTGGAAGCCCGGGGGCCGGAAAGCGGGTCGCGTGTCGCGCCGAAACGTGGCGGCACAGAGCTGTCGGAACGACGCGCCGTCCCCAAACTCCCGAACGCAGAGATAACGAGAGAAAGAGGAACGGAATTCGGCAGAAAACGGGCGGGAACGTTGAGTCAAGGAGTCGGCGAGGAGTGAGGGAGGAGGGAGGATCGGGAGGATAACGAACATAATCAAAAGGAGAAGGAACGAATCATATAAAGAAATGCAGCGGGAAGGAACGACACCGATGTGGACGGAGAGTGGGCAGCATACGAGGGGGAGGGCGCACATGTTGGCATTGCGCGTGAAGAGATTTTCCGGCTGGGGGCACCTCCAGCCGTTGTGGGCTTGTGGGGGTCCACGGAGCGCGAACACGGTGGCAAGCCAGGGTGAATCGTGCCATGCTGCGAGGCCCACTCCGAGTCACACCAACAATCCGAGATAACAGTATAATTGGCAGCGTACACAACAGACCGAACGTACGGTCGGGAACCTTTGCTGACAGTAGGAGCTCGACCACAAGAACCCTTCCACAAGAAACCCAAGCCCGAGACCCCAGGACGTCCATTGATTTTTGGTGTGGGGACGTCACGCTTTCCATGGCAAAACCATCGAGGCCCAAGAAACCCGGGGCACCCTGGAGGCAGGCAGGGTGTTCGTTGTCATTGGCTTCCGCTGCAGCGTGACGCCGCGGCTGCCCTGGCGACACGCCATCCCTTGCGAGCGAATGGTCAGTGGTCAGCGTGTCGCTCCGCTCCGCGGGGCGGGCTGCTGGGACATGCTCGGGGCGTGGGCGCTCGGGAATGGTGAGAAAGAAATACCTTGCCGCGCCGAAGCGTGGTGGGCCGGAACCGCTGGCGCGACACGCTGAGCCAACGTTTCGGACCGTAAGCGTCTATCGGGACCGGCCGCCATAACGATTCCAGTCCGTGCCTGGGAGGTCCTGCAACCCACTGCAGAGGTTGAGTTTGGGCTTTCGACTTGCGCCAACAACACACACATGCTGTATACAGGGCCGCCTCTGGAAGCCCAGAATCCAAAACTATTGACGTCCCCGCGGGCCCGCCAACATTTACACATGGCAATACGCTTAGGTCGGGCATGTCCTCCTCCAGGCGGATTTTCGACGAAACATAAAAAATAGTCGAGAAATAATCAAAAATAGTCAGAAGTAGTCTAAACATCGTCCCCAGACTATTTTTGACTATTTTTGCTGTGAGGGACGTGTCCGACTTAACAGTACGACCGACCATACTGGATCTGGCAGCACGCGACCAGGCCACACCAGGCTGGCAGGACACAACAACGCCAAGCCACGCATCACCTAAGCGAGACATCGTCGTCGTCGTCGTCGTCGTCGTCCTCCCCCTTCTCCGCCTCCTCCTCCTCCTCCACCTCCTCCTCCTCCTCCTCCTCCTCCTCCTCCTCCTCCTCCCATGAACTGACAACTACCACCGATGTGTTTACGACCCCCAGAATTCCAGGGGTGGAATTCTTGGGGGTGGCTATTGGTATGTGTTGGACATCGGTCGCTGGATGGGCTGCTGGGGAAAGCCGCATGCTCAGTATCGATCTGACGCCGGACGCCCCTGCAGCTCCTGATCTGGGCTCATCGCATCTGCAAAAACGCCACCGCTGAGGGCGAGCATCCATCCTCCGTTATACCCTCCGTCGCGCAGAATTCCCCGCCGCATGCAGGGACATGAGAGGAAAGAACAACGCCATTAACATGAGCTTCCGGACATCCACGTGAGTTTCTCGGACCGGCGCGGGACCCTCCTCCCTGGCGCGCGGAGCGTGCCAAGGGCGGCGTCAGAGTCGCCATCAGGGGGGCCCAGCGCAGATCCAAAACATGCGCGCGAAGCTCCGAACGCTCATGTCTACAGTAGAACCTAGGCCAGAAAAACATCCCTCAAGATCATGAGGCCCTCCGCCAGCCAAAACACACAGACCATCCAAAGGTACCCTCCCCAGGAAGCACAATAACATCCACCGAACACGAAAGACATGAGGGTACCCTGCCCGAACCGACCTCGATCTTATACCTCGGTCCGACTGTATGCGAGTCTCTCCTCTTCCGCATGCGGGGGCACGCCACCCGCCCAGACAAGCGCTGTGCTGCCTCTTCCAGTGCGGGGCCCCCGAAAGCCTTGACTCATACTGTCGGACCTCAGGTAGAAGAACATCCTCCAAGAACTTGAGACCCTCCGCCGGCCAAAACACACAGAACGTCCAAGGGTACCCTCCCCCATGATGCGCAGGAACTTCCAACGAACCCGAAGGACATTAGGGTACCCTCCCCGAGCCGACCTCGATCTTACACGTCGGTCCGACTGTATTCGTATTCCCCAAGGTCAATTCTGTTTTTACCCCGACTCGCTTTTGTGGACGGGCCATGGGGCCCGGCGCGGGCACACCCGGAGGCCGAAGAAACCTAGGAACACCGCCCGCCCTGACGTCACGACGCGATCTTTGGTCGGACGGACTTTTTGACGCGAGCTTTTTGGCGGCAAGCGAGAGAGGGAAATGGGAAGATGAAGGCCTTCTCAGAGGGCAGCGGGACTTCTCAGAAACCCTCGCGCCTTCTGAGTGGTTGTCTCGTGCCTTCTGGCAAGGCTTCGAAAACTTCCCAGAAGGCTGGGGGACTTCCGAGCCTTCTGAGAAGGCGCGCCCCTTCTCACTTCCCCCCTCTGTCGCCGCCGAACATTTTGTCGAAAACCGCCCGTCCTGACTTTTGATTCCCAACCGTCCTGTGGTGTTGGATCCTCGTTTTGAAGAGACGGTCCCCGCGTTCCTCTTCTCCTCTCCTCCTCCTCCCCCTCCTCCCTCTTCCATGCGTTTCACCCACCCAGCACAGCGTTTCGTGGCCCCATAGGGGGCTCCGCCGAAGGTCCCAGTGGCACCGCCCGCATGCGTCCGCCACCACCCAGCACAGCCCTTGCTCCCTGCGTTTCACCCACCCAATACAGCGTTTCGTGGCCCCTTGCTCCCTGCGTTTCACCCACCCAATACAGCGTTTCGTGGTCCCATAAGAGGGCTCCACCGAAGGTCCCAGTTGCACCGCCCGCATGCGTCCGCCACCACCCCACACAGCCCTTGCTCCCTGCGTTTCACCCACCCAATACAGCGTTTCGTGGCCCCATAAAGGGGGCTCCACCGAAAGTCCCAATGGCACCGCCCGCATGCGTCCGCCACCACCCAGCACAGCCCTTGCTCCCTGCGTTTCACCCACCCAATACAGCGTTTCGTGGTCCCATAGGGGGCTCCACAGAAGGTCCCAGTGGCACCGCCCGCATGCGTCCGCCACCACCCAGCACAGCCCTTGCTCCCTTCGCTTCGCCCACCCAATACAGCGTTTCGTGGCCCCATAGGGGGCTCCACGGAAGGTCCCAGTGGCACCGCCCGCATGCGTCTGCCACCACCCCACACGGCCCTTGCTCCCTTCGTTTCGCCCACCCAATACAACGTTTCGTGGCCCCATAGGGAGCGCCACCGAAGAGGATATTCACAATTGCGGTACTCACAACTGCATATGGTTGGGTCTTTCGCCAGGCCAATTTCTTTTTGTCAGGAAGACTCTTTGGTCACTGGCTTCGACCCTGCGTTCGGACGCCGTTCCCTTCAGTACGCTGGATGTCTGGGTCGTGCTCTGCCGAAGCTTCGGCGGCAACTCATGGAAGCCTCCCGTGCCATCTTGCCGGGTCTCGCGAATCGACGCTAGTCGACGTTTAATCGATGCTGATCGACGCTACATCGACGCTAAATCGGCGCTATCTCGTCGAGCGCCAGACGCTAATCCACGCTTGTCGACGCTAAAGACGGAATTAAGAGGGTACACCAGGCTCCCATGATTTGCTACCGAGCGACGCCCCCGAGGCTGCGCTATGCTATGCTACGCTATGCTATGCTGTGCTCTGCTATGCTAAAGCTCAACGAAGCTAAGATGAAGGTAAGCTGGCCAAGATAAACCTGAACTAAAATGAACCTAACACGTCGGTCCGACTGTATTCGTATTCCCCAAGATCAATTCTGTTTTTACCCCGACTCGCTTTTGTGGACGGGCCATGGGGCCCGGCGCGGGCACACCCGGAGGCCGAAGAAACCTAGGAACACCGCCCGCCCTGACGTCACGACGCGATCTTTGGTCGGACGGACTTTTTGACGCGAGCTTTTTGGCGGCGAGCGAGAGGGGGAAATGGGAAGGTGAAGGCCTTCTCAGAGGGCAGCGGGACTTCTCAGAAACCCTCGCGCCTTCTGAGCGGTTGTTTCGTGCCTTCTGGCAAGGCTTCGAAAACTTCCCAGAAGGCCGGGGGACTTCGTTTCGTGGAGGGGGCCTTGGCACCGCCCGCATGCGTCCGCCACCACCCAGCACAGCCCTTGCTCCCTGCGTTTCACCCACCCATTACAGCGCTTCGTGGCCCCATAAAGGGGGCTCCACCGAAGGTCCCAGTGGCACCGCCCGCATGCGTCCGCCACCACCCAGCACAGCCCTTGCTCCCTGCGTTTCACCCACCCATACAGCGTTTCGTGGCCCCATAAAAAGGGGCTCCACCGAAGGTCCCAGTTGCACCGCCCGCATGCGTCCGCCACCACCCAGCACAGCCCTTGCTCCCTGCGTTTCACCCACCCAGTACAACGCTTCGTGGCCCCATAAAGGGGGCTCCACCAGAAGGTCCCAGTGGCACCGCCCGCATGCGTCCGCCACCACCCAGCACAGCCCTTGCTCCCTGCGTTTCACCCACCCAATACAGCGTTTCGTGGTCCCATAGGGGGCTCCACAGAAGGTCCCAGTGGCACCGCCCGCATGCGTCCGCCACCACCCAGCACAGCCCTTGCTCCCTTCGCTTCACCCACCCAATACAGCGTTTCGTGGCCCCATAGGGAGCTCCACGGAAGGTCCCAGTGGCACCGCCCGCATGCGTCTGCCACCACCCCACACGGCCCTTGCTCCCTTCGTTTCGCCCACCCAGTACAACGTTTCGTGGCCCCATAGGGAGCGCCACCGAAGAGGATATTCACAATTGCGGTACTCACAACTGCATATGGTTGGGTCTTTCGCCAGGCCAATTTCTTTTTGTCAGGAAGACTCTTTGGTCACTGGCTTCGACCCTGCGTTCGGACGCCGTTCCCTTCAATACGCTGGATGTCTGGGTCGTGCTCTGCCGAAGCTTCGGCGGCAACTCATGGAAGCCTCCCGTGCCATCTTGCCGGGTCTCGCGAATCGACGCTAGTCGACGCTTAATCGATGCTGATCGACGCTACATCGACGCTAAATCGGCGCTATCTGGTCGAGCGCCAGACGCAAATCCACGCTTGTCGACGCTAAAGACGGAATTAAGAGGGTACACCAGGCTCCCATGATTTGCTACCGAGCGACGCCCCCGAGGCTGCGCTATGCTATGCTACGCTATGCTATGCTGTGCTCTGCTATGCTAAAGCTCAACGAAGCTAAGATGAAGGTAAGCTGGCCAAGATAAACCTGAACTAAAATGAACCTAACACGTCGGTCCGACTGTATTCGTATTCCCCAAGGTCAATTCTGTTTTTACCCCGACTCGCTTTTGTGGACGGGCCATGGGGCCCAGCGCGGGCACACCCGGAGGCCGAAGAAACCTAGGAACACCGCCCGCCCTGACGTCACGACGCGATCTTTGGTCGGACGGACTTTTTGACGCGAGCTTTTTGGCGGCGAGCGAGAGGGGGAAATGGGAAGGTGAAGGCCTTCTCAGAGGGCAGCGGGATTTCTCAGAAACCCTCGCGCCTTCTGAGCGGTTGTTTCGTGCCTTCTGGCAAGGCTTCGAAAACTTCCCAGAAGGCCGGGGGACTTCCGAGCCTTCTGAGAAGGCGCGCCCCTTCTCACTTCCGCCCTCTCTCGCCGCCGAACATTTTGTCGAAAACCGCCCGTCCTGACTTTTGATTCCCAACCATCCTGTGGTGTTGGATCCTCGTTTTGAAGAGACGGTCCCCGCGTTCCTCTTCTCCTCTCCTCCTCCTCCTCCCCCTCCTCCCTCTTCCATGCGTTTCACCCACCCATTACAGCGTTTCGTGGCCCCATAAAAAGGGGGCTCCACCGAAGGTCCCAGTGGCACCGCCCGCATGCGTCCACCACCACCCAGCACAGCCCTTGCTCCCTGCGTTTCACCCACCCAGTACAGCGTTTCGTGGTCCCATAGGGGGCTCCACCGAAGGTCCCAGTGGCACCGCCCGCATGCGTCCGCCACCACCCAGCACAGCCCTTGCTCCCTTCTTTTCGCCCACCCAATACAGCGTTTCGTGGCCCCATGGGGAGCTCCACAGAAGGTTCCAGTGGCACCGCCCGCATGCCTCCGCCACCACCCAGCACAGCCCTTGCCCCCTGCGTTTCGCCCACCCAATACAGCGTTTCGTGGCCCCATAGGGGGCTCCACCGAAGGTCCCAGTGGCACCGCCCGCATGCGTCCGCCACCACCCAGCACAGCCCTTGCTCCCTTCGTTTCATTCACCCAATACAACGTTTCGCGGCCCCATAAAAGGGGGCTCCACAAAAGGTCCCAGTTGCACCGCCCGCATGCGTCAGCCACCACCCAGCACAGCCCTTGCTCCCTTCGTTTCATTCACCCAATACAGCGTCTCGTGGCCCCATAAAGGGGGCTCCACCGAAAGTCCCAGTGGCACCGCCCGCATGCGTCCGCCACCACCCACCACAGCCCTTGCTCCCTGCGTTTCACCCACCGAGTACAACGTTTCGTGGTCCCATCAAAGGGGCTCCACAGAAGGTCCCAGTGGCACCGCCCGCATGCGTCCGCCACCACCCAGCACAGCCCTTGCTCCCTTCTTTTCGCCCACCCAATACAGCGTTTCGTGGCCCCATAGGGAGCTCCACCGAAGGTCCCAGTGGCACCGCCCGCATGCGTCTGCCACCACCCCACACGGCCCTTGCTCCCTGCGTTTCGCCCACCCAGTACAACGTTTCGTGGCCCCATAGGGAGCGCCACCGAAGATATTCACAATTGCGGTACTCACAACTGCATATGGTTGGGTCTCTCGCCAGGCCAATTTCTTTTTATCAGGAAGACTCTTTGGTCACTGGCTTCGACCCGGCGTTCGGACGCCGTTCCCTTCAGTACGCTGGATGTCTGGGTCGTGCTCTGCCGAAGCTTCGGCGGCAACTCATGGAAGCCTCCCGTGCCATCTTGTCGAGTCTTGCGAATCGACGCTAGCCGACGTTTAATCGATGCTGATCGACGCTACATTGACGCTAAATCGGCGCTATCTCGTCGAGCGCCAGACGCTAATCCACGCTTGTCGACGCTAAAGACGGAATTCAGAGGGTACACCAGGCTCCCATGATTTGCTACCGAGCGACGCCCCCTGCTGGCTCCTGCAGAGGAGCGCGGCGAGAGAGTGCTGGGCCTGCGTCTGCTCGTCGGCGGGCAGCCGCTGCTCGATGTCCTCCAGCGTCAGCCTGCTGGCCTCGGCACGGCGGCGAGCGAGGGGGAGAAGTGAGGAAGAGAAGGCCTTCTCA